TGACATTGTGTGACAAGGGAGGGGGTAAAGAAAGTTTTGTGACGTCACATCTTACAATTTTTAACATTAATATACTAAACGTTTAACTTGTATATAAATAAATAATTCTATATATTTACGAATTTAATCTAAATTTATTTACATAATGCTTGAGCCTCTAGAGTCTAGGTAGCTATAAATTTTCGTCTATGTAGCTTTTAACTGCCATATCTCTTTTCTACGTTCATGTGTTGTTAGCGAGAATTTGGTCAAGTCCCATTATAAGTGCAATTGCAAAATTATAAATGTGTGACGTCACCTTAGAAATGAGGGGTTTCTAAATACGTCAAACCTGGGACAGAAACAGTGGGTGAGGCTGAAAATTTTTGATATTCACGTGACCTAGTTTATGTATGACTTAAATATGGAATAAATAGAAAGTTATTGCGTTTAATTTTGCGACTTCTATAGTACAGTAATAATAATGGATGCATATGGCGATGGCAAGATATTTATTACCATTTAGGCACTTTAAAAACATGAATATCCGTTCGTTACACTTCACTCCTAGCGTTTCCTACAATAGAGGATTGATGTTGGCTATTGGAAGTGAAACGAGAGACTATTAGTTGTGTAGTGTGACACGCATACTTAGGTCACATATACACATTAAATCGGATTATAAACCATTGATAACTTATGTAAACATAAATAATAAGAGTAGGCTGAATCCTTGTGGAAAAAGGGAATAATGAAAATAAAAGAAAAATACGGCCGAGGTCGGGAACCAGAATGGTTGAGTTTTTAAGGTAAAAAATATCTTGTTTAAAAAAAGGTAATAAACTACATTTTTTACGTTTAAACTTTTTGTCATATCCTCAAAATTTATTTGAAAAAATCGATTATAAAAGAATTTAATTTTGAATTTGTATTTGTTCTTATAAAAATACAAATTCTATCCTAGCTTAGTGTTCTGAAAAAACCATTTTTTTTTAACTATTGCTATGGCTTCATTCACACTGGAATCGTGGAATATTTTTCCAATGTCAAATTTATGATTTGAATTTCCGATACATCACTTGAACTATCAAATAATGTTGACAGTTGACAGTGACACTGACCACTGACAGTGGCTCGCTACTGACTTTTCGATTGATATATTATAAAATAAAAAATAGGTCACTAATCAGATATTCAGAAAGTGTGATTTGATATAATTAATTAAAAATAATACATTTATTTCTATCCATTAATAAATAGTTTTAAAAATGTTCACAGACAATTTATATTTTCAAAGATACTTAATATGCTCGAATCCTTGTTTTTTTTGAGTGGTCATTTAAAATCTTCAATATATTAGTATTAAAGAATATTTTAATAATCATATATATATCCCTAATAAAAAATGTAGTTATAAGAATTTATTCAATATATTATAAATAAAAAACCATCGCCCTCACAAAAAAAATTGGGTATGAATACTGATAAGTCCAAATATTAAATTTATTACATTATAAAGAAGTGATTGATTTCAATTTTTGATTATTATATGAGTATAATTGATTTTTTATGTCCGAAAACAAAAACGTGATTATACAGACGAAGACGGATAGTCAGTGGTGGCCTAGTGGTTAAAAGGCCCGCCTCTCATGAACGAGAGCGCGGATTCGATCCTGGCAAGTACCAATGTGATTTTTCCAAGTCATATGTACTTTCTAAGAGTATTTAGACATCACTGATTAATGCATTCCCAAAGAGGTTTGATGTCAGTCAGGCGGCCGGTCGTAAAAACAATTAGCCATAACTATTCACAACATGTAAGGCAGACCCTGGCTAAAGCTGGGTAATTGCCAGGAAGATGAAGAAGATACAGACGAAGACGGATAATAAACATTTAATCCGATAATTATATGAGCTTCGCCTATTTTAAGATTTTTTTTAAATAAACGTATTATATAACTATCTTAATCTTGAGTAATATTTATAAATAGTATACAAAAAAATGAGTAAAAAAAAATATCCTCATCGTACATGTTTTTGACCTGTACAACCTTAAGTTAAATTGGTAATAAAACCGGAATCCAACTCAAAATTATGATTTATTACTAATGATACTTAAAAATATTTATTAATTACTTATCATTATTATTTGTACCTTCATAATTTGCTTATTGAGTATAACAAATTGAAACCTTATTGCCATAAATAATGTTTGTTTTGTAAGCAACAGTAATTAATAGCAACAGTAATTAATATTACACTGTGTAAGTTTAATACTAGCTTATACCAAGTGGTCTCCGTTGTTAAAACAATATTTAAACTTTATAGTTATAACTAACAACAAGCATTTTCTCTACGAAAATATTTAAGCCTAGCTAGTAGATATTCTTTAAGGTAGTCCAAATTTTATTGGGTGTTTATATCAAGCTTTACTCTCTAAAACGTAGAGCTTAGCTGTGGTCAGTTCGAATATGTGCTGGCTCGACCGAGGAAGTACCACCCCCTTTCAGGATGACGGTACCCTTATCCTTTTCCCCTCTTTTCCTTTCCCTCTCTCAAAATCGAGGTGGGCAACGCATCTGCAACATCTTATATTGCAGAATGTTTTTTTGCGACAGTGACTATCGTCCATCAGGTAGGTCGTCTGCTATTATGACGTCTTTGTAATAAAAAAAACAATAATCCAGTGTATTAAGTTGAATCTAATTGAGGACCATTCTAAGATGAACCAAGATTATGTGATTCATTCAGCTTTAAGACCTGGAGCCGAGTCTCACTACAAGGATCATTCAAGGTTATTTAACACAGTGTTGAGGAGCTTAACTACCTTCTCATGATGGGTTTCTTGATAAAATGCCCTTCTTTTGATACCTCACAAAAATACGACTCAATCATTCTTTCATCACCCAATCATCGTGTACTCTGTCAACTAATTTTGGAAGATTTTATAGAGTTTTTTATATATAATCATTGCATTTATTAAAATGTTTTTCAATTGTTAAATTATTAAATCCGTAAACAACATTTCTATAGACTTCATCAGCGTACCACTTGAGTAGTTTTCTTTAATTGAAGATTTTTTTTAAATTTAATATTCGACTGGAAATTATCTCTTAGTGGCTGAAAGTCATTTATAAATGTTTTAAAATACAAGTCACTGTTCTAAGTGTAATCTTTATCTCTCGAGATTAAATCTTGCTTTTGGATAGGACTTATTCAAATCCTTTTTCATGATACTTTGATAGACCTCTTTCTTATCAAAACTACGTGGAAGGCCTAACTTTTTTCTGTTACAAACAAAAGAGGTTTCATTGTAACTGTCAAAAGCTCGTTACAACCAATACGAAGCGAATCGAGTAATTTAAAAAAATGTGTTTGGCTCCATACTTACTTAATACTTATATAATACATTCATTTATCACCCCACTTCATTTTAATATAACCACATAGTTTATAATATATTGGCGGCAAAATAAGAAAACAGTATGGAAAATAGTGTAAAAAGGAATGATTCCAAATTTAAACGTAATTTTTTTTTATACCGTTAAAATATTTACGGCTTTTTAATTTGACACGATATCTAGCGATATATGATATTTTTTTTGTTTTTATTTAGTTTTTTTAAATATTTATAACACTACATTACAAAATAATATTTAGAATAAGAGATTTATTGTGTTACGAATGAGAATATATACTATAATTCCTTATACTACTTTTATTTAGCTGGCTGAATTTGATAAATACACAACATACTTTTTAAAAAGTTAAAAACACTTTCCCGCCTTAATATCAGATAAAATAAGTGACTGCAATGTAGGAACTAAATACTTTCAAAGTTTTATTACGGAACAGTTAACATGCAATTAAGTAGAAATTATAAACCCTACGGTGCATTAGTATAGGAAACAGAGCGCTCTCAATGTGTAAATATTCATCTTATTTATGAAGTACGCTTTATTTATTGATATATCTTAAAAATACTGGGAAAAGATCGACGTATTTTAAATTACGGTGTCATAATGTCTGAGGTAAAAAATCCGCCAAAACTGTCTATAAATTCAAAGCACTATACGAGAATTGTAGGGTAACTGTATTGAACAAAAATGAATAGTCACAAATTGCAGTTATATATGTTATCTTTGTAGTGTTGAATAATATGTGAATAAAGTTATAAGACTGAAATAAATGATAATAAAGTGCCGGAAGTCATCAAGTGAACCAAAGTGGTATTTCATTATTGTAAAGACAGCCCAACAAAACTATCACTACATTTACCAAAGCCCTGGCCTCAATTTTAATTTTTCGTTATTCAGAATTCTTTTGACACTACAGATCGTAAGTTTTTTGAAAAAAAAAACTCAAAATTTTACATCATCAAGCTACTATCATTACTTAAAAGACGCAAACAAGTTTTAGAATTACATAATATATCCATTTAATTTAAATATAATCACATTAAAATCAAAATTCAAAAAATTTTATCTGTACACTAAAAAACTTTTCCTCGAACTTAAATTCGTTAACGTTTTACTGTCTTTTTAGAGTTGGCGCCATTGTCAAGCAAATGATACCATAACAATTTAATACTTTAGTGATTATACCATTTGAAAATGTGTTTAAAAAATTAAGTACATGTTAAATGATATTTAGCATCGTTTCTAAATATAATTTCAGTACACATTAATGTAGAAAACGTTGTTTTTCATTTTTAACATCATCGTAAATAATAGCAATACTTGATATGACAGATGTTTACGCGCCAAACAACATACACGGACAATGGGAGCTTGCGAAGCTAGTTGAAACTTTCGTCACATATATTTTTCGATCATTTTATATGATTGTTGTTTAATAAATCGTGTTACTACACAGTTTACCGCCATTTCAAGTTTAATTCATAATAATTTGTTATAATTGCGAATGCAGTGAGAAACTTAGTCGACTAGGCGGCAAAGGCAGGTGCAGAAAGTTTGTTCATGTTTTTTCATTCGAGCTGATATAGTTGATGAATTATAATTATGGCAGCGACTACTCCGAGACGTTCGACACGTATTCCGCATACTCATACGCCTAAAATGTCTGAGAGGAAGAAAGGGTTATTTGTTAGTGAGAACGAGTCTTCGAGGGAGTCCTTGACCAAGCATCGTCGTTTGCCCGTAGTGGATAGTGAGAGTGATAGTGAAGATTGTGACCTGGGCATCATAAGTACACTGGACTCAAGTTCTGGAGATGATACAGATCAAAATAAGACACCCGAACGATCACATTGGAGTAAGTACTTGATACACTTGATTTTCAAATAGATTCTTCATCAACTTGGTTTATTCTTGTTATATATGTAAAAAATAGCTTATTAGTTCATCTTTAATAACTGGAAACTATGTTTGACTCATATAATTATGAAATCTTTCATAAACATGCATTTGTTTATTAACACTAACAAATCACTAGTTTTGATGAAGAATAACAATTGTTAGTTCTCTTCATTCTAAGTTCTATGTATTATCGAGTTATTAGAAATGTATGATGATTTCTTTTTTCTCTTGCTAAGAATTGAAATCATTCAGGATATATTGTTATTATTGTAACAAATTAAGATTACATTGCTGTCTTTGACCCTAATAAACTTATGTTTTGTATAGATGAAATAAGAAACAAAACTAAGATAAGAGAGACTCATGATCTGAAGAACTTTATGAAGTCTCCGTTTACTCTCAAGAAGTACCAAACTAGATATTCCTGTCCGGAAACCAGATGCACGGGTTCATTGTCAACGCCGGCTACACCTCATTTACAAAATCATCCGAGAACCCCTTCATCTACTCATTCATGTGCCAGCATTCATACAACTTCGTCTACATCAAGCCGTGCTCGGAAAAGCCTGGCCAGTCTCATAGCAGATACAGAGAGTTGTAGCAGCTCCCTCAAAGACCTCAACTTCGACACAGACTCGGGCTCAGACTCAAAAGAGAACACACCAACAAAATCTCTTAGAAGATCAAGTCGTAGACACAAAATGACACCAAAGCTGCAAAGCTTCAAGGGGGTTTTGATGGAGCAAAAGAAAAATATGTCTCCGATGAAAAATGCGGTTGTCTGTCTTACTAAAATAGACATGAGCAACTACATATCACCAACACAGATGCTTAAAACGCCGCATAACACTTCGGAAAAGGCTTCGCCCCCCAAGTTAGGTCACAACCGGCGTTCCGTGGTAGAAATACAGGAAAGCCCAGAATCTGTATGTGAGAGTGAGAAAAGTCACAAACGCCTACACTACGACAATCAATCTGATATAGGGCCGGTATCCAAATATCCAAGACTCGATATTAACGCACCAAAAGCCCGTCTATCTCTATTCAACTGCGATCGTCTCAAAGAAATTCTATCCACAAAATCTTTCTACGGCAAAACTAATCCGGAAATGAATTCTAACATTTCTACGAAAATATCAAACGCCATTGAAGCTACTAGCGTGCATAGAAGACACTCTTTCAGCCATTCCCACCCTCACCGCCGCAAACGAAAACCCGGTCAGATAAATCTTGGGGTTAAACATAAAATAAGGAAGCCGAAAGTACACAAGACTAAGATAGTCACTTCTAAAAGTACCAACGGTACAACACCCAGTGTGTTGAACCAAAGTAACGTCTCAAATAAATCTATCAACAAAGATTTATCCATTTTAAGTCAAGGCTCTACTGATGGTGGGTATAAATATAATTTCTATTAATAATTAACACTAATATAGTTAAAAAATTATATGACTATGAAATTATTTATTTACAAAATTACTTATTATATATTTGCTGCATATTAAATATCAAATATATTGCAAAATATCAAATAATTTTTTCCATGTTAAAAGTAATTTTATCATTTTAGACAAAGCTGATCCATTCGACAAGGAAAAACAAACAATAGACGCCCTTCTCAGCCAGTGGACTGAGGAAGATATACCAGAATCTGAACTTACATACACAAGACCCAAGGAACTGCCGTGCTTCAACAGCACAGTCATAGAAGCCACCGATCAGATCTTTAAACCTATTACAGCCGTTCCTGTAGACACAGACAATACATTACAGGATTCAGAAGCTGTTATAGTAGAATTAGGAACTACTAAACCAGTTGAAGCCGCAAATACTCAGAATAATGTGAATGCCATAGAGCCACAAAATGACATGAATGCCACAGAGCCACGAAATGACATGAATGCCACAAACCCACAAAATGACGAAGATGTGGTCATGGAAGAAGGCCATGTAGCCAACCATGGCGAAGTGCCCAAGACTGGTCAATACCTCCCCGTGGAAGGTGGTTATATATATGTTGAAGTAACCATAGGTATTAATTATTATTTTTCTCATTTACTTAGTCCTTTCAATGATAATACAGTATTTTTGTTGAAGTCATATGTCAAATATTTTAAATAATGCTCTATACAAGTTGTACAACAAGATAATGAGATCTAAGACTTTCGCGAGATTTATTCATTTAAATTAAACTAATATTTTTCGGATATACTATGCTTGCTTTATTCTATTTTCAACTGCATACTCCCTACGTTTCGGTCACTTTACAGCAACCGTGATCACGGACAGACGAGATGTTAATGTCTGTCAGTAGGTCCAAATAAATCACTAAACATATATAATAAGATTTTAAAACAATATTTAAGAACATTTATTAAGTAAAATGTGTTATTTTTTAGAACAAAAGGTAATACCGGACTTGGATGAGATTGAACGCGAGTTACAGATGTTGGATGAACAGATCTTAAAGATGGCTCAAACAAACAATATAGATGCTGACACTGTACTCGCCTCTACAGAAACATTACCTATCACTGGTGACTTGACAACAGGTAATATACAACAGATTAATCTAATTATAACATTTATAAAATCAATAGCTCCTATGTATAAGGGCCAATATAGCAATTGAGCCATTTTCATTTTTTGCTTTAAACACTTCATAGTAATTTATTCTACAACATAAATTAAAAAAATGTATATTTTTTGGTTGAAAGAATTAGTTTTTATTTCAATAAGAGGACATAAGTAACACAGATTTTAACATATAAAGGCTTATATACAATATTTAAAAGCATCGGTTATCACATATAAGAGATACATTGAAATCAAACTTAAAATGTGTCTATTGTAAAATTGCTATTTTGTACATTGGACCGTCTAAATAATGATATTTAGAATTTAAAAATATAGTGCTTTGGTAAGTTAAAACACTAAAAAAGCAATAAAATAATATTTTTTGTTATAAAATTAAAGAAAAACTATACATAGTCATATTATAACAATCATATTTGCATGTGTGAGGCTCTTAGCTGGTGTAATCTTAAGTCAAAATGCTTTACACCATTCAAAAAGAGCTGATTCACCATACTCCAGCAATATTAACTAAACATAGCTAACAAACACTGCAAGGAAACTGGCTTTAAAAACAAATCACATCATAATCGGTTGATCTGTTTTAGAACTATCATGCCTGATGCCACAGACATACATACCTACTCACAAACATCGACTTCAAATTTATACGAAACTTTTTTTTGCGTCGAGTTTTAAAAAACATGTGAGAAACAAATACGTGTAGATGTAAAGCCAATGTTAGAATTAATTTGGTAAATTCTGATTAGATATTGAGTATCCTTAACATGAGTTGGCCTCAAACTAAATACAGGCAGTTTTAAGTTACACTTTTCCTAAAGAACCTTTCAAAAGTCTGGGATAAAAACTATCCTATGTTCTCTCTCTAAAGGTCAACTCTATCTCTGTACCAAATTTCATTAAAATCAGTTCAGGGGTTTATCCATGAAAGCGTAATAGACTGACAGTTACTTTCTCACTTATAATATTAGTAGGGATAATATATATGTTAATATATTTTGCTGTATGTTACAAATAAGAAAATTTTGTCCACAGATGAAACATCTAAACAGTCTGAGAAACAGACAAAACTGTTTCCTATATTCAGTAAACCAAACCACGGTTTGAACGCTACATCTACTAAAGGTAAATAGATGTTTATTTATTATACTACAAATGTATTTATGTATGTATGTTTGTCACTCACTAAACTGCTGAATATTTAATGAAATAATACATCTTATTATATTTCGTTTACTATGAGATTTTGAACAAGGAAATTCCTTTTAAATGAAAAATATAGTATTAGTTTCGTTTCTCTTTAAACTAACAGTCAATAACTCTTTATATTAGTATATTTAAAATTAATGTCTATTAAAATAATACAACGAAAAAATTGGCAAAATATGATATTAAATATAGTTAAATTCCTAATATATCGTCTGGAATAGTGCAACTGCCTAACTGGCATTATATAATTCCTATTATATTATCTACTAGAAGCAGATTATTATCAAGAGAAAGTTTATGTCAAATTTTCTATATTAACGATTTTTAAGATATTTTTTTCACAATTAGTAATTATTTATGTATCATATATTTCCAGGAGATAAAACGAAAAGATGTTTATTGAAGAGTGGCAGCAATCAATATGTGATAGATGCTGGACAGAAGAAGTTTGGAGCGACGCAGTGTCACGAGTGTGGAGTTATATATGAGGTGCATATAAGAATAATAATAATTTTTATATTATTCCCAAAGAGGGTTGATGTCAGGCAGGCGGCCGGTCGTAAAACGATTAGCCAAAACTATTCACAACATGTAAGGCAGACCCTGGCTAAAGCTGGGAAATTGACAGGAAGAATAAGAATAATATTAATGTTGACCTGAAAATAAAACTACTTAATAATGTTTACATAACAGGAAAGGCTATAGATTTGCCTTTATATCGTGTACTTATAATTGTCGAATTGTATTATATAAAATTGGATTATTACTTTTTTGAAGTCCATTCGTTTTAATTACAATGGGCCAGTTATTTCAGAAAATTTAAGAATTCCTACTTTTAATACTATACATCTTCTTCTACCTGGCAATTTCCCAGCTTTATCCAGGGTCTGCCTTACATGTTGTGAATAGTTTGGGCTTATTGTTTTTACGACCGGCCGCCTGCCTGACATCAATCCTCTTTGGGAATGCATTAATTAGTGATGTCCAAATACTCTTACAAAGTACATATGACTCGGAAAAATCACATTGGTACTTGCCAGGATCGAACCCGTGCCCTCATGTATGAGAGGCGGGCCCATAACCACTAGGCCACCACTGACTTATACTATACATATGGTTTCCTTATTGATTATGTGAAATAAAATTTGGTGTTATTAAGTAGTGATATTACCTACAAGCACATTCTTAGGGCGGAATGATATTTAGGCGATGAAACAATTCTACACCGAAAAAAACTACAGTTGCATAAAAATACATAAATATTAAATATATATAATGTAACAATGTGTATAATAATTGCTATAGCTGCTGTTTAATATGAATTGGTAAAATTGGTTATATTTAGATGATTCTTCACAGAGCTCGTAATACTTTAAACATATATACAGTATGATGTTATGAATTTTAACTTCGAAATATTGTTTAGAAAAATAATATAATAAATGTGACTGTCGTATTTGAGGTAATATATAACGTATTTGCGTCTTTTATGTATTAGGTGAAATTTTGTTTAATAGAATCTAATTAGAATTTTGTTCTATACTTATAGTACATAATATATAAACTGGAAGGTTTTTAACGTTATAGGTCTGATTTGGCGTGTGTATCATACAGATGGCTCATATAATTATTAATAATAATCGCAAGCTTGACTGTATATTAAATAAACCTTAAATTGTATTTTTACCAACTAATAAAATTAATATCACCAAAATAATTTTACAGGAATATTACACTTAGCTTTAGTAAGTCATTATAAGTATTAGTAGGCACATGATAATATTATAATATTGTATCTATTGCATTATTATATATTATCTTTCGTAATTAATAGAGTAATCTATTGCTTAATAATTTCAGTTAAAACAAGTACATATTTATAATATTAATATTTGTTCCAGGTGGGTGACCCTCAAGATGAACATGATCACTTGGTTCATCACAACGCATCTGATGTACTCAAGTTTAACGTGAGTATATATTATCACTGATATATAAATTTTAATTATGATGCTTACTATGTGTTTCCTATTGTTATTTAAACTTTATACTGTCTGTAAAACGTGATTTTTTCACAGAACTCGATATATATAAATTAAACACTAAATATGTACTTATTAATTGTTAAAAAATTACCTTAAAAGTTGTTAATATAGAAAATATTTCAGCTCAAACTTTCTCTTAAAATCTACTTCCAATGTAGATACGCGGAATTATACATTGATAATTATTCGGATTTGCACTATCTTCGACGAAATGTATCTCTATTTATAGTATAGGAATTTAATAATTGATTTAATGTTTCAAATTAAGTATTAAATTAGGTGATTCTTAATATATTTTAATTCATATTAACATGTTAATTCATGTTAACAATATATATGTTGTTATTCCCGAAAGAGGGTTGATGTCAGGCAGGCGGCCGGTCGTAAAAACAAATAGCCATAAGTCATAACTATACATATACAACATGTAAGGCAGACCCTGGCTATAGCTGGGAAATTGCCAGGTAGAAGAAGAGGAATATATATGTTGTTATATAATAATATTATATTTTCCAGGGTTGGAAAGAGGAGTGTGTTGTTGATAGAACGGAGCATGGAAGATGTTTGAGGGTACGAGGAGGAGACAACGGTTGGAAGAAAGTGGAGGCTGTGCTGGCTCGAGTGGTACACCCACAGCTGGGGTACACCAGCCATCTGCCGGGAGACGCTAGGGCTTACACGGTCAGTATATATATATATATCTTTATATATATAATTCTCATGTGAGTGTGTATGTCACTGAACTTCTCTCAAACGAGTGGACCGATTTGATGAAATTTTTTGTGTGTGTTCAAAGGGATCTGGGAATGGTTTAGATTCACAATTTGTACTTGTTGATACAAACGTTTTTTTTTTGACATTAGATTTGACAACTAACCAATATGTCAATAATTCTGTCGCACTTCAAAACACGGAGATTCATGGCTTTAATAGGCAAACTCCAAAAATATAAATAAAAAACGTATACTTTCTTTTATATGTATACATACATATACACGTTGGTTTGTACATTACTATGTAACATTAGAGACAGACAAACCAATATATATATATGGAAGAAAGTTGTGTTAGTTACACTATTTATAACTTAAGAGTGGTCATAGAAATATGGTTGAACATTGGTGGGGAGATAGCTTAGAACCAGGAGACGACAGAGTATATTGAACTGTGTTTTATATTAAAAACACTTAACAAACTCCAAAATCTGGTTATTTATGGCCTGTGAGGTTGAATATAGTCCGCCCGGTCCACTATACATATATTACTAAAGCCGAAATTAACGCGAACGAAGTCGCAGCTAAAAACTAGTATGCCAATAGTATGAAATGTTCTAAATCATCTACTAAAATTATACATATTATGTTGCAACACTTCATACATATGTCCACATATATTTTCTCATACATTAACTATTACTAATTATTTATTAATTTCAACAGGCTTACCTGTATATAGAGAAGAAACAAATAGTTGGATGTCTGATAGTGGAACCCAAGGCCAGGGCTTTCAAGCTGTTACCGGGGGACCCTGACTGCTGCACCATAGAAGATTACCCTGTCAAGTGAGTGATTGATGTGGATTAAACATGTCATAATTATTGATTTGACTAACGACATTCTAATAGCTCACTTTGTGTGTAAATAACGTGGATACTTAAAGGAAACTCATTTACTACTACTAACACATATATATTATGCATTAATTAAACTGTCTGTCTGTTTGTAAAATCTAAATATTGTTTTTGTCTGTCTGTTATTCTGACTGATGTAGCAGACAGGTTGAGATGAAAAAATGACAAAATAGACTATGTGAAAGAAGTCATTTAGTCTATTTTTTTTTTGTTTAGAATTCTTTAATATAATTAGAACACAGTTATATAGCCGGGAAATTGCCAGGTAGAAGAAGTAGAATTAAAACACTGTTATTAATATAATTCATTTATATATTTTTTGAAGGAAGTCACGAGGAACCACTAATATTATTCAAATGGTATCTTTACATAACCAACTTTATCAGTGAAATATGTCCTACATAGATTCATATATACACAAACTTCTAATATGTAGTTACCCTAGTTTAAGAATCTTGCCTACAATTATTTAGTAACACCTTATTAAATACTATTCTCACACTACAGATGCGGCGTATCTCGTATATGGACTCACGCTAACTTCCGTCGTCGCGGCGTGGCGGTGCGTCTGTTAGAGTGTGCCCGCGCCTCCTTCCTGTACGGGTGTGGCGTGTTACGCTCCGAGCTCGCGTTCAGTGCACCAACCGCCGCTGGAAAAGCGCTCGCCACTAAATACTGTGGCACGGAAAACTTTTACGTGTATCTAGATTAGGAATTATGAGTGACACTCGATTGTATTAAACACATGAACTCATTAATTTAATTGTGAAATGTGATTTATAGTTTTAAATAGAACAGTTTTTACTAGCAGTACTAACTTACATTCCCCACTGATTGTCTCTTATAAGTCTGTTTTTCGACATTTTTAATTTTTTTTACTCGGGACCAAATACATCACAATTTTATACGTATTTTATAATCTTAATTAGAATTTAAATGTTTAAGTTCGTGCATGAATAATGTTTTAATATAATTTTTATAGAATTTTTTTGAATATAATGATAATTAATGTATTTTAAATAATGTACATGTGCCAATTTGTTACAATATATTTTTAAGTGGAGTTTAGCTCAGCTACGTTTTTAGTTATTATTTTATAAGGATTTTAAGTCATTTGAGTGTAAGTTGTTAACCAACTTGCTCTTTATAATGTTAAACATTAATTTAATTTCAATATTACTACTTCTTTTAACACTGTCTGATATAAGCTCTCTATTCGAATAATTCTCAATACTTTTATTATATCCACCATTTTAAATGTTCAGTATCAAGTAATTAATTAATAATGTTATTTATATTCGTCAATGTTTTCTTCCCAGTTCGTTGTAGACGCGATCCCAAAGACGTTCCGTGAGATGCCATAGACTTGTATATAATATTTATTTGTGTTTGTTATCTTAGTATGAGTCCTCCAGTTAACGTCAACACTTGTAGTTTGTATGTTTTAGTGTGCCACCTGAGCCGTGAGCAGTCAGTCTGGTGTCAATAAATGTTTTTATTTGATTCGTGTACATTATTAGAGAGATGGCCACCTCTTCATATAGGCCTATGTCACAAATTCCTCTGTAGCAAACGATATATCCTCCAGCCACATTCGATCTGGAATTTTAGTAAACAAACCATAAGTCATCATAATTAGGGTTGATACACTCTTAATAAAAAATAATTATTATTATAATTACAACTATATTCATTATAACACAATTTCCTGTTTAAACACAAAATTTTTAATTTAATATACCTAGAATCCAAAAATTTTATTTAGCCGGTCAATACATAATTTATATGAAAATTAGCTTAAAATAAAAGTTTAATAATATTTAGTTACCACTATAATATTACTACAAAACTAACAAGCCTATATTTTAATACCGACGTAAAGAAATCGCAGGTTTGTAACATTTGGAGTGTTTTTCGATAGATAAAGTTAACAAAGCGAATTATATAACTACGAGGTAATTTCTGATATCATTTTAAAATTGGAGTATTATTTTTGAGATCTACATTATTCCAGATGATCATAAGTATTATAATTATAACAAAGAATGCGCTTAGTCATTTGTCTTAAATATTTTATTATTAATCATCAATTTTACTAACATCAAAAATAATAATTATTGTATAGTGCGTTTGAATTAAGCTGAGCTGTGTGCATTTGTGTGAGTGCACACGGATAGTGTAGGTGATATGTTAAATTTTTGAATACATCGTTCTTTTCTAGTTTTGAACGGGTTTATACTACTTTTACTCCGCCCTGCACTTTCCGCACTTCACCCTTTGTACTGCTAGCAACGTCAAATGTTGAAAACGTAATGTCAAGTGAATAAGAATTTGTAGTTTTTTCAAAATTTTATTAATCAATAAATTTTTTTCCATAATATTCTTAATATTTCCATCTGGCCTTTTACAATTTTTGCTTATTTTATAGCACTTACATTGTGTATCTATTTAATATATAATAAAATTTAATTCTAAAAGATTTTTGTCTAACTCTACTTTTACTTTCACTCACACAAATGCTAAGCTCAGCTTAAGTCTAACGGACTATACATATTATGTATTTCTAAATTTTTTTTGAGCATCTGCCTGACGTTGGTTGCTAAGCAACGTTTTGTTATTAAACATTCCACATCGAATTTGGCTGGAGTATAGTAATCTGTGTTGTGGGTAGTCCCGGATCTATCCCGAGAAATCCCCCACATACCTCCTAATTCCCTTCGGAGGTAGGTGAAAATTGCTCGCCCAACATCAAATAAAGGATGGCGTTAAATGAAAAACCACAATTTTAAAACAACATTTATTTTTACATACATTAAGTCGGATTCAAAATGCCTGAAACATACTGATCTGTGTACACATCAGTTACAGGTTACTGTACCGCGGACACTAAACGATAGAAAGTAACGGAAACAGGGCAACGATGAGCGGCCGTTGGTACAACCACCCCGCAGTAAACACTACTATACACGTAAATATTAAAAATTTCATTTTTAATCTTTAGGAGTTTCATTAATTAGGTATATCATTTGTTTTTTTTTTAAATTAAATTTGTTAAAAATATAGATTCATCTTCAGTATATATTTAAAGGTAAGGTATTAAGAGTTAGCGGAACACCGAATACGCAGTCCCATAGTGACGAATACAATGTCGAGTGCTGATAACGAATGACCTTTATAAAAAACCGAGTGTTTTGAGCTTCGCTACGAACATATTTTATTTAAATTTTTTTACAAAATAAATCTACCGAAAAAATGGAGAAACACGTTCATGCTACGACGAAAATAAATTCTAAAAGCACTAGTTTAAATGCCATCATTTAATATCTACAGCGAGAGAAACTTTACCGAAAAAAAATATATTTGAGACTCGGAACAGAACACTTCACAGTCCTGGTACAAGTTGTGCGCGAGTTACCTTCACCTACAGATAAAGATACGATCAAACGAAAAGATGCTCACACGACCGACAGTGTCACAGAGGTACACGAACATGGAGCCGGGATCCACGGTCATTGACACCTTAAAAACTTTACACTGAAAATACTTGGACATAGACACTGGCAGTATATCATCTAAATATCGAAAAACATAGAAAATATTTCTAAACTACTTTATACACATTACATGAATCACTTGTTATTGCGCATCTTAATACGAGGAGTGGGGGTTAAAGGTAATTAAACGCTCGACGCGCCGTCTCGTGAGATTCGCGAGCTCACTCTGGTTTTTCATTATTCCGTGTGCTCTAATATTAAACTCCCCAAATTCTAAAGGAATCCAAAGTCGAAAGAACGCTATATGATAGCCCACTATGTCTCACGCTACTCGGTAAGTTAAAAACAAAAGTATCATTCCATCCGACTATCCGTGGACAGTAGAACTGCAAGGACAAACAAACTTCACTTCAGCAGTCTACGTTTATAATATAATATATATATATTTTTTTGTTACTTTTGTATTTCAATATCGCGATATACTAACTTAATTAAATAGCTACCAAATATATTAAGTTACATATACAGTAAGGATTTAAGACGCCGTGTTATTGATTCAGTGACATGTGTAGTCCGCGCCGGGGCCGCTCCTGTTGCGGGAACATAAACTCCTCTACACGGTCGGTTAATAAACATACTTACGACTAAAAAATATTAACTATAATTTAAAAATTCAAGTTCTGTGCTGTAATATAAACGAGCGACCCCGGCCGCCGGTAAACTCGTGTCATTCCCCTACTTACATTAAAAATTTTAACACAAACAAGAAAAAAAACAAGTAATATTTATGTATATATAAAAAAAAATATCTAAGTGTTATCATTACAAAGCAAAATAGCGAAGTTACTTTACAAGTTACTAGAAGTTTAGTTGCTTAATATTTTAATTGAAATGGTAACATACATGGTGTTTCCGCTAGCAACACTTATGGCACAATCTCCAACTCTATCGTAGTTATATTAAGGACCATAATCAAATGACAACATACAACTAATCAATGTCAGCTTGTATAAACAAAACATTTCACACTTAACGATAAATGAAATAACGACGTATAGATCTTTAAGGCATTTCACTAACAAAACAAGGTAAGTACATGAACCAATTGTATAAATAGTGTTAGGGTGTTAGTAACAATTGTACTTACGACTAAAAAAATATTAACTAAGACACTTGCGAATATAATTGAAATAAGATAAATCAGAAAATATATATGTATATATATTGCTAACACCAATATTACCGCACACACAAACACACACTCACATACTCCAAATACATAATATACGGACATTCTTTGGATCTTAAAATTAATACAAGCCCTCGCTTAGTCAATGTGCGTGAAAGATAACTAAAGTCAACACGACGAAATAATATTATGGAAGACATTAAAATAAGACAACTCCAACAAAATCATAAAAAATAATAATTAATTAAATAGACAAAAATATTCGTCATCAAAAATATACAGAAAGTACAAAATAAATCGAATAAAATTAACAATTCCATATACAATAAGTATATTTCGCTACAAAACTTTAACAGGAGAATAAAAATAAAATAAAAAAAAAATTTGGTCTACGAGTCGACAGAATCGAAAAGAATAATATATTTCTGCTAACAACGAATACAGAGTCCTAGGAGTCTGCAGGTCATATTAAATATACTTCAAGCAAAAATGTGCTTCAGAAACTCAAATACTATAACTAGCCTCGAATCAAATAAATGATCCTTAATATAAAATTGTATTAAACATCCATCAGTGAGAAAAAGAAGATTAGTTTGTCGAAAATGTGCATAACTGTTATATATAATATAATATGTACTGAACTAAATGATTCAGGATGAGCTACAATGACCCCACATTAACATTTCCAAAATAGTTCGCTGCTCGGAAACACCATCCGGAAAATAAATCACAGGACACTTGCGAGTTATACACACTTGCGACTATTTAGACGCACTCGCGACACGCGACTGTTGTATATACTAAGTCTTAAGTTTGTGTTCGTAAACAGTAGAAAACACAATCGAAAAAAATGTCGACAGATAATAATTATTGTGATATTGTAATTAAATATTAAATTTGATTAAATCAAAGAGGTTCTAGTGTCGTATTAGTGAGACTAGTGTCGGCGAGTGTCGCGTGATGATGTATTGCTGGAGTAGTGTCGCCGACAGTCGCGCCAGTGTCGGCTGACACTTCGTTATCTGCCTCTGAAAGTAACGAACAATAATATAAATTTTATTTAGTAAGTTAACTATTTCGTTATTGAAAATCTAAATCATAATTCAATCATATCATAAATACTGATGAGAGATATTTCAAACATACATATAGGTATTATATAAATAAATAAAATGAGACTTTGGCAGAAATGCTGTTTCATATTAAATAAATAACTAATGTTTTTTTTGTTAATTTAATGATTCTAATAAACATAGATTTAAATGTTTCATATCACTATCGTATCACCTTATTGCTTCTGATGTTTTATATTTTCAATACATTCAACAACAATTCCTAATATCTAATTTATTAATATCTTACAATGTATTTGTTTTGTTGTGAACGTGAAAATTTTCTCTTATGAAACATTGCAAAAACTATATCCCTATTCCCTACTAATATTATAAATGCGAAAGTAACTCTGTCTGTCTGTCTGTTACGCTTTCACGCCTTAACCACTGAACTGATTTTAATGAAATTTGGTACAGAGATAGAGTTGACCTTGAGAAAGAACATAGGATAGTATTTATCCCAGACTTTTGAAAGGTTCTCTTGGAAACGCGATATAACCGAACTCCACGCGGGCGAAGCTGCAGATGGAAAGCTAGAATCATATAAAGCTTTGCACACATGATACTGTGCACTTCTCTGGAATGCGACCCTTCTCCCGCTACCCCGCGCGGCGCCCCGCATTCGCCCTAAGCGATCAGTAGCGATAGCATCTTTGTTACATTTACTTATTATTAAATACAAAAATGATCTTAAACTATGAAAAATATCACCGCAATAAAAAATCTAGCGTCCACTTGCCGTTTTTTTATTGTTAAGCTGTAATATCATATCAGTCCATATGTATCTATTTAGTTGGAAAACTTCGTGAGTAAAATGACCTAGTATTATGACGCCTTAACATAAAAACGACCCTTTATCAACATAAAAAATTTATAATTTATATATTTTTTATATAATTCTCATTTTTTTTGCAAGCGGTATCGTTCTAATGACGTCACAGAGTGAGGTGCACAGTTAATACGTAGGGGTTATATGTATATTATTATAGAGAAGAAACCTCTCAGCATTCAATGTATACATGAGTGAGCTCGTAATATTTATTGACCTTGATGGTATTGTCTTTGGGGATGTTGGTTTCCCAAGGGACCGTAAGCTCTATCATCACAACGCGCTTTAAAATACGCGAATATAGAAATATGTCTGGTCTGGAGGCCGACGCACAAATATCCTCGGGTATATATAGTGTTATGTTATCCTACTAATATTATAATTGCGAAAGTTTGTGAGCGTGTATGTTTGTTACTACTTCACGGTCAAACGGCTGAACCGATTTTTAAGAAATTTTGTATACTGGAAGCTGACGTTCAGGAATAACACATAGGCTACTTTACATCCCGGAAACCCGCGGGGCGCATTTAGTGTATGTATGTATGTGTTCGGTGTAGCTTGTACCGACCAGGTCGTTAGAGCAGCTCGTATTGTCTGAGGTGCATGCGCTGTATGATGTCGCGGCAGTCGTTGAACACGCGCTTGATGTTCTCGGTGTCCACGGCGCACGTGAAGTGAGGGTAGCAGTAGTGCTTGCCGTCACCGCTCGCCGTACTGATGCGCTGCGAAAATACAACATTACTACATATATATATGAAAACATTATTATACTCATCATCATCATCCTATCAGAGCCCACTGCTGAGCAGATCACATGGAGAAGGTTTGAGCATTAATCACCACGCTTGCTCAAGACGGGTTGGTGATTACAAACTTATAATTTGATGAGTCCAGGTTTCCTTACGATGTTTTCCTTTACCATTTATCAATGATGTCTAAATAGTTTTAGAAAGTACATATAACCCGGAAAAATCACATTTTTACTTGCCAGGATCGAACCCGCGCCCTTTTGCATGAGAGGCGGACCTTTAACCTCTAGGTTAGCACGACACTTATATTATACATGTATATGACATTTGATCGGGGATAGTCCAAAACTGCGTAACTACCATTATATAATTCCGCAAATGAGGAAATATTTTCTATATTAACGACTTTACAGTAATTTTTTCACAATTAGTAATAAATTAAAAAGTAAATAATTACAAAATTAAACACCAACACAAACTTTCTTCTCATAATCTGCTTCCAATGTAGATATTCGGAATTATCCAATGAAGTTACTCGGATTTGCACCATCCTCGATATATTGTCATTATATAACATTGTGTATGTGAATGTAACATAGTTGATAATCCAATGGTAGTTACACGGATTTGCACTATCCCCGACAAATTGCCATATAATAACATTTGCTATATAAATGTTATATATATAATAGTTGGTACTGACCAGGAATTCATCCCTGATGAAGTACTTGGCCCTGGCCACGTCCGGGTGGTCCCTAGTGTCGGGCGTCGCGTCGGGAGGCGTCTGGTAGCGCGCGAACTCCGCGAAGTACTCCTCGAGCCGGGACTTGCCCGCCAACACCTTCTCAGCCAACAAGTCCTGTTTGTTGAGGAACAGGATCACTGATATCGTGCGGAGCCATCTGGAATATTAAACATTATATATGAAACTAATCTAGATCAAGTCTCTGAAATAAACATAGATAATGAGACGGTTTGCTTGTGAATTTTGTATTATAGATTGATGAAGTCAGAACGTGTACAGTCATATTTGATAGTATTAGACCCAGTTTAACAAAACAATGCCAAAAGAAAGATGTCTTATTAAGGAATTTGATTGACTGTTAGATGTATCGAGCATCCCACCACGCACTAATATATAATAATACTAGCTGACCCCGCAGTCCTCGTACTGCCACAATCAATAAATAAATATTTTTTTTGGAGTTTAAGCCATAAAACTCCGTATTCTGAAGTGCGACAGAATGATTAACATATTAGTTAGTTGTCAAATCTAATGTCAAAAAAAAACGTTTGTATGCGAAATAGAAAAGGTCTATTTTTATGGTTTTCCCGGAAATGAATCAATTTTTTTCAGCTTTTAAACCTTCTCTGAACCTCCACAAACATTTCAAGATTAAAATAAGATAAATCCGTTCAGCCGTTCTCGAGTTTTAGTGAGACTAAGGAACAGCAATCCATTTTTATATATATAAGAAGAAGAAGATATCAGACAAAATCAGGGTTGTCACCAAATAAAATCCTGCTACTACAACTAATTACCGTCTACTATAAGAAATGCAAGCTCAATTAACGAATTTAAATCTCAACTTTGACAACATATTTTAGAAAATAATTGATATACCAACGATGTAACACACTTGTAATAATATCTTTAATTGAGTTCCAAATAATCTGGCGACTACTATTGTATGTATGTTCTCATGTAAGTGACTATGTCTTTTTGGGAATAAATTCTCTTTAAACCTTTTTTTCTACTCTATTCGTCACCTGTTATTCCATGTGCTCTTGTTATATCGAGTTAGCACTGTATTCGATAGAATTAGAGCCAGTTTCACCAAACAATGTCAAAAGAAAAGATGTCTTATTAATGAATTTGATGGACTGTTATATGTCTATAGTGTCCCACCACGCACTAACATATAATATGAGCCAAAATCAGGGTTGACACCTAATAAGAGTCTGTTCCTCTGTTTTTTCAAGGTTGTCACGTCACCTGTTGTTCCATATGCTCTTGAACAGGTCCAGCGACTCCCGCAGCCTGTTCTGCGTGGGGTCCTCCCTCAGCACCATGTTGTAGGAGGAGCAGGCCGTCACGAAGATGATGGCCGTCACGTCGTTGAAGCACTGGATCCACTTCCGGCGCTCGTCACGCTGACCGCCCACGTCGAACATACTGTGGATACATATATATAGTATCATTGAAGGTTACTTTACTTATTTTATTCATATCTTGCGATATTGAGGCTTCTTAGAAAGTTCGGTATGCATGATTCCGACAGTCGAGTTTATTGCGGGCCAGGATAACAAAGCGATAAAAGAACGTACACAGTTGCGCAGTTTTTACTAATTTTAGCCACTTAAAAGGTACTTTTATTACTTAATTGTTGTCGTTATTGAGAGTGGGTGTGACGCTATGTAGAGTCTATCATTTTATGGTAGACAAGCTAAACCAACCAAAGTCAAATGATTTCGACGCTTTAGAGACTTTATCTTTAAATAGAGTAACGTTACATGGAGTTTACACTGTATATAGTATCATTGAAGCTTACTTTACTTGGAAATAGGACTAAAACTAATATTTTGACTTAATTTTTATAAATACTACATAATATCGACGTTTTTCCTACTTTTCATCAACATCAATCAATCATGATCACGGGCAGACGAGATGTGAATGAATGCCAGTTGGTCTTGTTATTTATAATAAATATTTATTTATTTATATATTTATCCACCTAATCCAATCACAGTAAACATAAGTACTGTTTAAACAATGAGGATGTGGCATAGGTCACATACTGAGTGAGTTTGTGAAACTACATACTTCTGAAAGTCCCTCGAAGGAGACAGATTGTAGTAAATAAATAAAAATAAAAAAAAACAATATTTATCCGAAAAATATTAGTTTCATTTAAATGAATACACGTAAAAATCTTAGATTTGATTAGATAAATTATTGAAACATCATTAGTTGTAGTAAGTTAAGTAAAACTACTACTTATTATTTAAGTTATCAGTCAGTGATAAGTAGCTGAAATTAGCTCCAGTCACTTTCAAATTATCGGCAACAAACTGACAGACAAAAATGGTAGAAAAAAATCTCATTTCTGTGTGAAACCGTGAATACAATCAATACATTACATGCTTTTAGTACAATTTTTGTTCATTTAGTAAAATACAGGGTGACTGGTGAATTACTATCAATATTTAAGGAGCATACTCGGTACATGATTCTCATTCGAATTATGTAAAAAAAAAATAGGTACTTAATTTTTGACCAAATTTCCGTAAAAATAAATAAAGTGTGTACACGTTCCAAGTGTTCCAAGTGTGGACGCGTGCGGCGGCGTGCTGATACAACACTACGCCGCCGCCGCGTCTGTGTGTGTGTGTGTGTGTGTATACCTAATCTGTAGGGTGTTCACACGATGCGTAATTAATTACATAACTTTTGGTTAACTTTACTTAGAAGTTTATTAATATTTATGTTATATTAATTTTTATTTTGTCATATATGATCGTCAAATACCACGTCCTTAAATATCGATAGTAATTCACCAGTCACCCTGTATAATTTCACAACCGATGGACACATCCATGATAAAAGCCAGATTTTTTGCCATAAAACTACATTTACTGCCAAAAATTATTACACACATAATTATTAAAATACATAAATCACTATAAGTAATTAAATCTAGTTATTATTTTAATACGTTTATATATATAATCTAATCTTTTCTAGCGTCCCCTAACACTTGAACTCACTGAAAATTGACTTTATCGACGACGAACTGCGTCTCGAATATCCCCGAGGTGAGAACTCGACAGCGGAGTATGTCCTGCTCTGACGGTGTGTAGTCCGCTCTCTTGATTATATGGACTTGATCCAGGAAACTGAAATCATATATAACGGTACAATTAATATTATATTACTAGAAGTAATTATCATTTAAATGAAGTCATTTATATTATCGAGATATTAAAGTATCAAAATACATACATAAAATAAGTGTTAACAGTTATAATACTTGCATATATTTCATTCAAACGTAAGGTTAGTTTAAATTCTTTTACATGGTCATGTAATTAATTAAGATTAGAAATATGCATACAGCCTACTATATAATGTACAAGTTTATTTGCTTCAGTATTATTTCATAATCATTTTCAAATCTATAGCTCTTTCTTTTTCTTTCTTATCTAACAAAGTTTAAGATTACATACAGAAAGAGTCCTAAACTTAAAACTAGAGAAATATCTCACGTCAATATTCCTCAAGAAACTTATCATATATCTACACATATCCTACTAATATTATAATTGCGAAAGTTTGTGAGTGTGTGTGTATTTTTGTTACTTCTTCACGCTCAAACGGCTGAACCGATTTTGATAAAATTTTGTATACAGGAAGCTGACGTCCAGGAATAACACATAGGCTACTTTACATCCCGGAAATCCGGGGGTAACACCGTGGGGTGCAGCTAGTATACATATATATGGTGTATCTGTGTGTGTGTGCGTGTGTATGTGTGCGTGTGTACGTACTACTTGGCGCAGTCTATCAGCTGGTACTCGTTGCTCCTCTCGTAGGTCCTCTGCACGCCCTGGTCCTTCCACAGCTCCTCCGTGTGCTCGTAGAACTCCGGAGGGTAGTCGAAGTCTGGCTGAGAGGCTACATCCTGGATAAACATACATACAAAATGTATATAAAATAAGGTATACACCTAAGTCTGTTTTTACACGGTCTTTTTGTACACGGTTTTGATATAACACGGTTTGAAAATTGAATATTTTTAATTTTTTTACACGATTTTATTCCATTTAGCACGATTTGAAATTTTATGTACTTAAATTTTTTTGTCAAATTTAATTTTTGCGAAGTATGTTCATATCACAAAAAAGTATTTATGAAAGAAAAAAGTCTGAAACCATCGATAGTATCGATAGTTTGCGAACACTAGCTTAAAGATTTAAGTGAATTCCCCTTTAGCGCGTACAAACAATTTTTACTGGTCAAAGCAAATGTGAATAGCACTAATTTAGGGGAATTCCCTTTATGTGCATATGTATGTAATATACATATATTTTAAGATTAGAGTGCATATCTTTTTTATCATTAATTACTATGCTTGTGAAAATAAGCATTATATATTTGATTTAATAAAATAAACATGAATTCTTGTTCTTAAAAATTCTTGTTTTTCACTAATTTTAATAGGTTTTAGAGATTAGGAACAAATCACCCATTGTTGTATAAGATCAATGTCTTTTTTTACACGGTTTTTACTTACACGGCTTCTTCTGGAACCAATCTACCGTGTAAAAACAGACTTAGGTGTATAATGTTATACAGGGTGACTGGTGAATTACTATCAATATTTGAGGACGTGATATTTGACGATCATATATGACGAAATAAAAATTAATATAACATAAATATTAATAAACTTCTAAGTAAAGTTAACCAAAAGTTATGTAATTAATTACGCATCGTGTGAACACCCTACAGATTAGGTATACACTGACACTCACACATACGCGTGTCGTGACGTAGTGTTGTATCAGCACGCCGCCGCACGCGTCCACACTTGAACACTTGGAACGTGTCAACACTTTACTTATTTATACGGAAATTTTTTCAAAAATTAAGTGCCTATTTTTTTTACATAATTCGAATGAGAATCATGTACCGAGTATGCTCCTTAAATATTGATAGTAATTCACCAGTCACCCTGTATACATTACAATAAATATAATGTAATTCTATATAATACTAGATTTTGGCCGCGACTTCGTCTGCGTTGATATCGGAATTAGTAATATATGTATAGCTGACCGGACGAACTACATATTTATATTCAGTCCTAGAGGCGGTAAATAATTAAATATTGGAGTTTATGAAGTTTTTTCGGTTTAAATCGAACAGAATGAAATATCCTATATCTGTCTCCTGGTTCTAATCTATCTCCCCAACAATTTTTATCTATATCCCTACAGCCGTTCTTAAGTTATAAATAGTGTAACTAGCATGACCTTCTTTTATATATATAAGATATATTCTTGTATAATCTATCATAATTTCATAGAACATTTTTTACATATATTTTTAGTTTAAACATTTTTATACACCAAAATATTTTGTTCTTTCAATTAACAGTCTTCAAAAATTTGTATTTTTAATATATATTCAATATTTCCTTATCAGCATGGTTGAAAATAAGAAATGTAGTTCTACATTTTCATTTACAAAAAAAAAACACTTTCATCAAAATCAAAGTAATTTAAAATCAGTGAAACTTTAAAAATAATAGACATTTCAAGATTTAAGTAACTTTAAAAAACTTCTATAAAAAATATTAAATAAATGTCATTAGTGAAAACTAGTAAAATGTAACAAAATGTAAATACTATATTCAATAGTTAAGAGTATGTCAAGGGTTATAAAATCTTTATATTTCCTTTCTTTCCTATTTTAAGGAATAATGTACGTATATATACAAAATGTATCTTGTTTCGCTGTCGTGAATACCATGTGCTGCAAGTAAAGACGGCTTTTCTATGTTAATTTTTATGAAAAAATCTATGAATAACTGAAATCTCCACGCTTACTCCTGGTTCGCATCTTCACTGCATACGTATTAATAACAGTTTTTCACTCATAAAATTTCAAATTACACTATTCTTGTAGTTTATGGAATTAAAAACGGTAAACGCTACGTATGTAGTGACTATACAGACTTGGACTAAGCACACATGAAGTTATACAAGTTTAATGTTAAGTGTTTGTTTATAAAGTTTATCTCGTCTCGTGGTATGTAATCATTACCTGTATGTAATCAACACGAGCTTTGTTCTCCACCTTCTCAAGAGGTATGGGAGGTGTCAGAGTACTCATAGCACCAGTTATTGTCTGAAACATTAATAATAAACACATTAATCTGTATATTACATATTAATAAAATTTTCTTTAGGAAATGTATGTATGTATGTATGGGTGTGTAAATATGTGTGTGTAAATATGTGTGTGTGAGTATGTATCTTTATATGTATAATTCTTCTGTGAGTGTGTATGTCACTGAATTTCTCTCAAACGACTGGACCGATTTTTATGAATTTTTTTTTGTGTGTTCAAGGGGATCTGGGAATGGTTTAGATTCACAATTTTGTCCACTGGACAATGTTTTTTTACTTAATTTTTAATTTATTAGTAGTTGTTGATACAAACGTTTTTTCTTGACATTAGATTTGACAACTAACTAATATGTCAATCTTTCTGTCGCACTTCAAAACACGGAGATTTATAGCAAACTTAATGGGTGAACTCCAAAAATATAAATAAAAAACGTAACAGATATTTCTTGATTATAGGGCGATACGAAGTTCGCCGGGTCTTCTAGTATGTATATATTGTATGTTTGTGTATGTATGTGTATCTATATGTAGAACACTAACAAGTATAGCATCACGTATATTTTTCTTAATATCCTCAATCTTCTCCCGCCTCTCTTTATCCGAGAAGCCGTTCACGTGAAGTATACGCATCTGCTTCACGATCGTAGACTTGCCGGACTCACCAGCACCCAGCAGCAGCAGGCGGTGGGTCGCGCGGTACAGCTGGAAATATAAACTAATTATAAGAAATATATCATATAAATTTATATGAGAACATAAGACTTGCTCCCTTCATATAAAATATATCAAGTGCAGTATTCCTTTATTTTCTTATACATATAATAAATATCTAGTTGTTAAATTAATTTTGTATCTTGTATTGCAAAATATTATATTTATATTTAATTCTACTTTATGTGTATGTCACTGAACTCTTAAACGGCTGGACTGATTTGTATGATTTTTTTTTATCTGAACTTGTATGGCGCCCCAGATGGTTTAGATTCAAAAATGAGCTCAAAAGATGGCGTTGAGTCGGTATATTTTTTATTACATGAAGAGGCTGTGACGTAGGTAACTTTAAGTAATGTTTAAAAGACTTTACATATTTCTTTCTGAGCTTAACTATGGTGTTCACGGACGGAATCGGGGGTATAGACTAGCCGCACACAAAATGAAATAGTATCGTTGTATATATTAAGTGAAGAAAAAGTAAAGTCTGGGAACCAGTTGACCTGGAGACCTGAATCTCGTATTAAATCCGTCACAGGTCCAGCAAACAGCGTTCAGTTTTGATGACAGAATAATTGATTTGTACTAAAACGTGTAACCTATTCATACACAGAAGATTAAATAAGGACATTTAACATCAATGACAGGAGAATATCTTGGGGCTGTGCATTTAAATAAAAACACACATGTATAAACACGAGTGTGTGTGTGTGTGTGTGTATGTGTGTGTGTGTGTGTGTGTGTATGTGTGTGTGTGTGTGTGTGTGTGTGTGTGTGTCTGTCTGTCTGTGTGTGTCTGTGTGTGCGTATATCCACCTGCTTGTCCTTCTGCAGCTGTCGTGTGATGGCGTCGCTGCGGCGTTTCTGTGACTTGGCGTCATCCTCGCCACTCTTGGCGCCCGGTGACCCGAAGCAGCCCATGGCGGACCACGCCGCCCACCTGGTGACACATACACAACATTATTATATAATACTAGCTTTCCGCCCGCAGCTTCGCCCGCGTGGAGTTCGGTTATATCGCGTTTCCAAGAGAACCTTTCAAAAGTCTAGGATAAAAACTATCCTATGTTCTTTCTCAAGGTCAACTGCATCTCTGTACCAAATTTCGTTAAAATCAGTTCAATGGTTTAGGCGTGAAAGCGTAATAGACAGATATACAGTTACTTTCGATTTATAATGTTAGTAGGGATTAATACTTAACACATATTAAATATGTAAGTTTGTGAGTGCAATGGTTGTTTTTTTGTTTATCGTAAAATATGCTGAACGGATTTTGATATAATCTTTGTTATAGTATAGCTTAGACATAGGAATTACATGCAGCTTATAATATATCTCCATTCTGTGTTTTGAGGACATTATAAATTAATAATTTCTATTACTCATTCACTAACATACATTAATACTATAACGTAAGTATTTATCAATGAAAAACTGTTAACGCTACGTATGTAGTGAAAATTTAAACTCGTACTAAGTAGTGTGAAGTCATAAAACAGGCGATAGATGGCGCTGATCGGCAACTAACGTATGTATATTAAGTTTTGGAGATGATCTAACATACATTCATACATATAAAATAGACAGCTTCCAAGTCTGTTAATATATTAATGTAATATAGACATACGTCCAGGCCGGACGGGAATTTTTGTATTAACTATTAAGGGATTTCTGACAGAACATTACTAGACTAATAAAGCTGTGGACACGCCTGTATATAATAATGGACATAGAATTTTTAATATTATATGAGTCTCCATTATATTATGCATAGTTGTAATTATAAATGTGTAACTTTATTGATTATTATTATTAAATTAATGAAAAAATAACTTCTTAAAATATGTAAATAATAACTTTCAATTCTCTATGATATAAATTTGGGACACTTTGTAAATATACGTACGCTTACTCTTAGTCAGACTAGAATTTTTCATCGTCACTACATACGTAGCGTTAACAGTTCATCATTCTAATTCTTCACATTATAGTATTAACGTAGGTTAATGAATGAGAAACGGGAAACGATAAGTATGTAGTGTAAGTATACAAACGTGTGGTAAATACATACATACATGAAAAATATAGTAATATATGTACCTTATAATTTATCAGAGTTTCTGTGTATTCATAGCTGACATATTTTACTTTAACAAAAAGCATATAAATAATAATTAATAATATTAAATTAAAAAAAACTATAGCAATCCTTTTAGTAGACAAATAAAATATACAACGCCAAAGATACAAAGAGCAATTAATTATGAAAACATTAGAAGAAAATTGTGTATCATATTATTAAAGATTGTATAGTACATATATGTATGTAGGGTCAGTCGCTGCAAGTTATTTAGGTACCCTACATAAATCTAATATATCAGTATTAGCTCGATATATAACCTATTTAGTCTAGAAATTGCTTGGTTTTGGCCTAGTTGGGATGAAGATCTAAGTTACTTATAGTTTGGTCCATATATACAAACATATATATATATATACTAGCTTTCCGCCCGCAGCTTCGCCCTCATGGAGTTCGGTTATATCGCGTTTCCAAGAGAACTTTTCAAAAATCTAGGATAAAAACTATCCTATGTTCTTTCTCAAGGTCAACTATATCTCTGTACCAAATTTCATTAAAATCCGTTCAGTGGTGTAGGCGTGAAAGCGTAACAGACAGACAGACAGTTACTTTCGTATTTATAATATTAGCAGGGATACACAAAAAAATGTTCCAAAAATATATTTTTCTTAGACTCGTAAAAATATATTTTAATGATAGTTATCTTTATCGTATTATATAAAAGATAATTCATCAATAATATTTTTACAATAGTCATATAAATGTATAAAGTTTGTATGTAAAAAAAAAATCCATTGCAATCTTTATAATCAATTACTTTTAAGACATTCGGGCGTTTACTATTTTAGAATTATTTTTAATACTATATTATAAAAAAATAAAAACAAAAATGTCGTCCGAAAATAATAAAAATTAATTAAGGGTGAACAACCCTTATGACTTAGGAGTATGAAAAATAGATGTTGGCTGTATCTCAGAGCTACTCAATATGCTCACAAGATTTCATCGAAATCGGTTTAGCCGTTTCGGAGGAGTTCTCTGTCTAACACCGCAACACGAGACTTTTATATACATAATATACATATAGCATACTAGAAAAAGCCTGCTTAAAACAGTGTAACTTTTCTGGTATGCAAAGACGTTTTAAAGTGAATACTGAAATCTATACATATATATAAAAAATAGTAGTGTCTGGTTGTATTGAAATAATTTTTAATACATACATATCAATATATACGGTACATACACCAAAATAATTATTTTTTAAAATTTTGTCTGTCTGTCTATTTGTTTCGGCTAATCTCTGAAACGGCTGGACTGAATTCGATAGGATTTAAATTGGCAATAGATAATGTTATAAGGAGTAACTTAGGCTACATATTATATGGACTTAAAGTTAAGCGTTATAATTTTTTTAAACAGACGAAGTCGGGAGTGAAAGCTAGTTTTATATATATTTTTAATGGGTGTAAAACAATTATCTTAAGTTGTCGAACGTAAGTGGGTACATTCCAAAGAGGCGTACACAGGCGATATCGGTCGAGAAAGTTAAAAGTTAAATTTTAAGTGGTCAAAGTAACACAAGTTAACCGACTTCGAAAACTGTCAGTAATGTATGTACGTACCGGACAAACATATATCACGGTACATGCTGTCACAGTGTGATATTTAAACTTGATAAGATATTAATGCAGAATTATTTTATTGCTTTTTTGTTTTTCAACATTTGGTAATAAATATGAAAAAAAATTACAGGTGAAACTTCATTGCAATTGAAATTAAACACTCCAGCCTTTTTTTCATTTTATTTTAAGCAATCCCTACTAATATTATAAATGCGAAAGTAACTCTGTCTGTCTGTTACGCTTTCACGCTTAAAACACTAAACTGATTCTAATGAAATTTGGTACAGAGATGGAGTTGACCTTGAGAAAGAACATAGGATAGTTTTTATCCCAGACTTTTGAAATGTTCTCTTAGAAACGCGATATAACCGAACTCCACGCGTGCGAAGCTGCTGGCGGAAAGCTAGTAAAAATAAGAAATTTAAGTGATATACAAATAAACAATCTTCTAATATATTTATTTAAACACTTCCAAAATATCGAAAGCATCGCTATTGTCATGAAAATAATGGACCATAGACAAAAATATATAATCTAGATTAGATCATAGACTAAAATAGACACAACATAATACAAGATTAACATGTCTTTACGTTCTTTCAGCTTTGATCTGTAATTTATGCATTTCCATAAATAAAAATATCTTTTAATAGACGCTCATAGGATTCGACTGTCGAACTTTGGGTCAAGGTCGAGGAAGAAGTGAAAATTTTTGACAAAGAAATACTTAAAAAATAATATAGATATTGGCAAAAGGCAAGGACTCGAGTTAAAATTCGATAGAATTAAATATATGTATATTGTGGGGAAGTTTATAAATTTAACGATCACGTGCGTTAAAAGATTTTTCATCATCAGCCTATCAGAGCCCACTGCTGGGCAAAGGTATCTCACATGGAGAAGGTTTGGGCATTAATCACCACGCTTGCTCAAGACGGCTTGGTGATTTCAAACTTATTATTGTGAAATTATAAGTCCAGGTTTCCTCACGATGTTTTCCTTCATCTGTCAGTGATGTCTAAATACTTTTAGAAACTACATATGACTCGAAAAAATCACATTGGTACTTGCCAGGATCGAACCCGCACCCTCGTGCATGAGAGGCGGGTCAATTAACCACTAGGCCACCACTGACATTTTTTTAAGATTTTTGTTCGGTAGGAATGCACTTGGTATATGAAACCGTTTTCTATTGCTACTATTTTTTTGACACGATTTCGTCACAATTATTGCCATTCTGATGTATCGAAATTAAATATTAAAATACTATATAAATATGATTATAAAATTTATATTTTTTACGTAAAATTAAACAGGTAAAGTTTATTGATAGCTATAGGCTAAGATATTACAAAATAATATCTCTGATAAAATTATATATTGAATTGATTTCTAATTTCATGATTGTTCATTATTTCTACACTAAATATTTTATAGTTTTTTTTTTTTTAAACTATATTAAAACTAAATTAGACACAATGAGGAACTCGATGAATAATTAAAGAATTATGTTTAATACATATACAATATAATATGTATATGTTTTATTTCAAATCATAAACAGTAAAAAGCAGTATTTTGAAACATATACTATATCTCTTTAATTCTATGTTATTTAGCAAAAAGTATTAACTATATATATATATCTATATATATATATATATATATATATATATATATATATATATATATATATATATATATATATATATATATATATATGTATGTATATGAGAATTATAACGAATTTAGTTTCCTACGTATTTTCATAGATATTTTTTTTCAGATATACTTTCTTTACTATCATTTTAATTCTGCAATTCAAAATTACAATATATGTCTGTCTACATGAAATAATTACTGAACTGTATTAAATTACAATTACCTTGGCGTTTCCCTAGGACGTGTTTTCACTATCATACATACAGTTTTCAGTTTTTCGTTAATAATTCTTCGTTTAGTAAAAACAGTAAATGTTTAGTATGATGTTTTAATTTGTGTTAATATAATTTATAAGGTTCAAACGAAGTCGCCGGAAAGGCTAGTATAGGACAAATCAAATAATTGACCCATATATGGTGTGATTGTACAAGTTTTTACTGTAAAATATTTCCTATTAAACACTTAGACGGCAAATTATAATATTAAAGTGTTATTTCATAAAAAAATAAATAGTTTTCACAGAAATTATTAATTGGTCGATAGATTATTATATA